CTCCCTCCCTCCCTCTCTCCCTCCCTCCCTCCCTCCCTCCCTCCTTCTCTGTCATTCCCCTACCCGCCCCTCTCTTTTGTTCTCCTGAATCAGGGTCTCAGTATGTAGCCCAGGCTGGCCTTGAACCTGCTAAGTAGATCAAGGTAGCTTCAAACTCTCGATCTTCCTGTCTCAGCCTCCTGTATGTTGGGATTACATGCATGCACCATCACGCCAGGATACAAACTAGCTTTTTAGTGGCAACTGCCTCCTGATCTTATGTTAACCCCAGCATATTTAACAAAACCTAATCAAACATCTAGTTGACTGAGATTAGTTTAGTATCCACCAGTGATGCCAGTGAGAGGGCTTAGTAGGCAAAGGTGCTTGCTGCCAAGTCTGACAACCTGAGTTCAATTCCCAGCACCCACATGATGGAGAGAAATGACTCGCACAAGATGTCCTCTGACCTCTACACACATGCCATGGTGATCCATCCCATGGCCAAATAAATACATAAATACAATTATTAACATTATTTTTTAAATCCATCAGTGGAGGATTCGATTTATAAAAATCACCCCCAACCCCCACACACATCCATGTACATGTAAGGAAAGGAAACAAAACATGGATTCGTCTACATTCACCTGGGGAATGGTTAGGTGTTGGGGACCCCTGCTGTTTAGGGTAGCAGTCTCCCCATGTCCAGATAGCCACAAGCTGGCTCGGCGCGAATGGGGGACTCCCCTTCTCAGCGGGGCGCCTTCTGCTCTCCTCCCTGACTTACTTTTGAAATGCCGGTCACAAGATACATGCCATCCGGCACAGGAGCAGGTTTTAATCAGGCGTTGTCTGATAGCCTGATAGAAGCCCACCGCCCTATGTAAATGAAGCATTCCAGGAGTACCTATCAGCTAAGGTTTTTACTACCACCCCCATAATATAAAATATCCTGGTTTCCCCTCAATAAGGGAGCTGGATCACTAAGGCTTGGAGCCGAGCTAAGTCACTGAATAAAGGGGCTGTACCACTGATTGAGCTGAGTTCTGTGTCTTACTGCCTACGATCCAGCCTTCCTGGAGAGAGCTGTCTCTTCGTAAACCGACTCACGGAAATCCAGCTTTCGCCATCCTGCACCTCTCCTCGTGACCCGGCAGCTGACGGGTCCCGAACTTAGAGAGAGAGTGCACGTGTGAAATTGGGGCAGAACTCGACCGGGCCAGCCCCAGTAGCAGAGACCCACAGAGACGCGGAGAAGCAAGGACCCGCCAGCAACGTGGAGCAGACAAGCCGAGGGACCCACCGCTTCCCAGGTGCGCGCAGGAGACCGGCACCAGGCTAGCAGCTGGTGCCCCGAGATCCCCGCACGCCCACAGTTAGGTGTAAATGACCAGTAAAAAGACAATAGTTTCTGAGTGACCTGCCCACCTCAGGCTCTGGTCTTCAGCATTAACACCTCCCACTGTAGGTGGTATCTCTAGAAAGGCTACCAATAGGGCTGACTCCTCTGTAGCAGAATTCTGGGTACTTTCACTTGATTTAAAAAAAAAAAGTGTGTGTGTGTGTGTGTGTGTGTGTGTGTGTGTGTATGTGTGTGGTGTATATGTATTTATCTGCATGTGTGTGGGCACATGTGTGAGGGATGCTTGCTGCATGGAGCATGCATGGAGGCCTGAAGATGATATTGACCATCTCCTTGGTCACACTTCACTTGAGGCAGTCTCTCACTGGACCCTGAGCTCACTGATTCTGTTATCCTGGCTACCCTGGGGATTCCTGTCTCTGCCTCCTGAGTCAGGCTAGGATTATAGGTGGCTGCCACGCCTGCCCAGCTTTTATGTGGGTTCTGGTGATCTGAACTTATTCTCAAGCTTGCACAGCAAGTGCTTTATCCACTGAGCCACCTCCCCAGCCCTTCCATTGATGTTTTAAATTGTCTTGCAATAGTATTTGAAATTTTCACTGTATTCACTGTATTGGTTTGTCCATTGATGTTTTAAATTGTCTTGCAATAGTATTTGAAATTTTCACTGTATGAGCACAGTGGTCATTCAATTAACAAACAAGAAATTTCCTGAACAAACCAATATCGTTCTGTCCCTCAGCTTTCTTCTCATGCAGACGGTGTCACAAAATATAAGAAATTGACCAAAGAGGGGGAATGATAACAGTCCACCTCCCTGTCTGCCACCCCTCAGCTACAGTGTCTCAAGGGCAGGGCCTTGTATGCTGAGCACACCTGAGCCCCAGCATGCAACCCAGGACCCAGAACAGAGTGGGAACTAGAGAAAGGGAAGGTCAGAACAGGAGGAGTGAGTTCAGAGGGGGACAAAGTTGCTCTGTGCCACCTTACCTTGGTGATCAGGTCCGAGTGCCTGATGATGGCGCGGATGAAGAACCTGTGGTCCGTCACCTCCAGCCCTTCCCTCACCTTGGCAGCGCCCAGGTAAAGGTGCATCTTGTGGTTGGCACAGGGCACAGCAGTCAGGTCAAAGTTGCGCATCCTGCTCAGCTCCAGCTGGAAGGCCAGGGCGGGCTCCAAATGGCGGTAAATCCTGTCTTCGGCAAACTGTAGGCCAGCCAGAGAGAGGACAAACAGTTTGACATTACGACTGCATGCCTACAGGGTCCAGGCTCATGCTGCCAACCCCTGATCCTCAGAAATGAGCCATTCATTGAGTCACCTCATTATGAGTAACCTCTGGGGCTCGAGATTTGGAGGTCACAAACTCTGCATGAAGCAGGCACCTCTTAGATCCTCCGTGCACCCTGCTTGTCCCTGGCACCCACCAGAGCACCAGGCTGTTCTCTGCCACAACATATTTCAAGCCATCTTGAAACCCTGACTTCTTTATGGAAATCAGTCCCCCAAAGGAAGAAACTGACAGTTTTAGAAACTGAACTAGAGAGAAAATGAAGGGTCCCCCCCCCACACAAAAAAAAAGGAGGGCGGCTGAGTAGGTCAAACTTCAGATCAATCAAAATGCAAAATGCTGAACTTTGGTGGGGTTTTTAATCTGTGCTGGGAATGAACCCACCTACTCTAGAATAGGGATCAGTGAAGGCCTGGATGTTAAATGTTTTTGGGTGATGAACCACACAGCCTCAGTGACAGCCATGGCACAGTATCTAATTAAATAAGAGTGACTGTATTCCAATAAAACTTTATTTATAAAACAAGCTGCCAGAAACTGTCCTACTGGGTGTACCAGCAGCTGTGAGTGAGAGCCCTGTGGTAACATGAGGGTCTGGGCTCCCTGCATGAAACATGAGGTTCCTGTTGGAGCGCAATTACAGGAAAAGCTGGGGTCCACAGCTCAGGTACTGTGCTCTGGGAAATGAGCATGCCTGGAGGGCTGGGGTGCGAAGAGCAGGGGTGGGGAGTGGGGGGTGTCATTACTTCCAGTCATACCTCATCCCGTGCTCTGAACGTGAAGAACTTGGGGAATTCTTTCTGTAAAAAGAAATCAATTAAAGACACAATTAAGTGAGGGAAGACTCACTGAAACCTTCACTGCATATTTTGGGATTATTAACAATGACTCAGTGGGGGGCTGGAGAGATGGCTCAGCAGTTAAGAACACTGGTTGTTCTTGAAGAAGACCCGAGTTCGAACCCCACCACCCATATGGCAGCTAACAACTGTCCGTAACCCCAGTCCCAGGGGATCCGACAGCCCCTTCTGATCTCCGCTGGCATTGCACGACACCAGTGCACTTACCTACATGCAGGCAATACATACATACATGTAAAATAAAAACAATAAATAAAATTTTTTAAAAATGACTCAGTGGGCTTCCAGAAAGAATCATATGGAAAGTTTTCTCTTTTACTCACAATTCATTACTCCTATCTCAGCCTTGAGAATAACCATTAAATACCTGGCCTGAGGCTTAGAGAATGGAAAAGACACATATGGATGAACTGAAAACTGACCTCTTGGGCAATCAGGAATGTGATTCTTCGGAGTCCGTAATCCACAAGGATATGTTTCTGCGTTAAAAACCAAAGACATGGTAGACTATATTTGGTCATAAAAAGATCCAGAGTCCTGATAGTTTTGCCACGTAGGTGAACCCTGCAAGGATGCTAAATGGAAGATGCCAGACAAAGCCAGTTTCCTTAGAACAGGAAACACTCAGAATTAGCAAGTCTGTGGAGGCTAGGGAGATGGCTTTGGGGACAGGGAGTCACTGTTAAAGGGTACAGAAGTTTTCAGGGGGTAATGTTCTAAAACTGACAGTGGTGTGAAGGCCATGCAGTTTTGTGAAATACTTATTCTAATATATATTCTAATAGTATAGTATATCTAATAATATATATTCTAATATTAAATTTAAGTGAAAACTTTTTTAAGTGAAAACTTTTTAGTGCTACATTGTACTCTTGTGATTTCTCCTTGATAGTGGTAGAGTTTGAACCTACGGCCATAAATATGTGAGGCATGCACTCTACCACTGAGTACAGCCCAAATTATACACTTTAAATGGCTGCACTGTACACTGTGTGAACTGTATCTTAATCAGAATACTGTGTACCCTGGAAATTATATAAAATGCACTAGAGAATTATACTGAAATAGAGCTGGGGGCGGGGCATAACCGAGTAAAATGCCCAACACAGAGCGAAGACTGACTCTGTTTACATAAAATCCAAGGACAAATCAAATCAATCTGTGTTGGTAGAAATCAGGACCCAGCCCCACTATCTTCTGGGGAATCAGGGGTGTCCATTTCTGATCTGAATGCTGATCACACCGGCTAAAAATCCATCAAGCTAAAATCCATGCATGGTTCACATTTTCCTCTTAGACTTTAATTAAAAAATTGCATGAAAACCACAGATCTGTTCTCAGTTCCCTAAATGAAGCAAATTCAGCCTTTGGAGCTGAATCTACAGACAGGAAAATGGGGTTTTTAAAAATTACACTTATTAATTTATCTGGATGTGTGTACACACACATCTGTGCTGTAGTTTACACATGGAGGTCAGAGAACAACTTGTGGGCTCTCCTTCTACCATGTGGGTCCTGGGAATTGAACATCATGCTTGGCACCAAACACCTTTACTCATGGAGCCATCTCGGTGGCCCTAAAAACTGGGCTATTTCTTCTCAACATAGTAATGAAAATCACTGGGGGAAATGAAGAGTCTTTGTTTCTTTCACAAAGAAAGCTGAGCATGGTGGCATATGCACTCAGAAGGCAGAGGCAGGAGAATTACCATGAGTTCAAGGCCAGCCTGGGTTACATAGTAAGTTCTAAGCTAGCCAGAACTACAATGTGAGATTTTTAAAAAAGAAAACACCAGCAAAACAAGAGCAAAAAAAATTTTTAAAGGCAAACACACACATATCTAAGAACACAGGAACATTTGAGTGCACATGGGCTGGAGTGGCAACAGTAAGATGAAGACATTAGCAGGAGGCCAGCCAGATCCCTGTTCTCAGCAAGGTTGCCAGGTGCACATGACAGTGTGCTGTGGACGTGTCCATGAGTTGCATGTGCACAAATGTGTGCTGACATGCTTAATGCAAAAATATCTCAATAATACAGATAAACATAGACTTTTCCCCCACTAGGCCAGCCAGAGAGAGGACAGAGAGTCTTACATTGTGACTGCGTGCCTGGATAGCCCAGGCTCCAGGCTGCCAACCCTGCTGCTCAGAAATGAACCATTCACTGAGTCACCTCATTATGAGCACCTTCCTCTAGCTCTCCTCTCTTCCATGTATCATGCATGTCATAAACTAGATGCATGCATGTAATCTCTCTATCACGGCCATCCCCCTGGAGTGGTATTTAGAGACTGTTCCTCTCCACAGCTATGTGGCACCCACGACATACTGTAAGAGTCCCTCTCTGCCCATCCTTTCAGGAGGCAATTTTCACACCCCTTCCTGCCTCCCTCCTTAGGTAAGAACCCCCAAAATCGTAAGCTTCATTTGATGTGGTCAAGGGGCAGGCAAAGTAACCCCCAGCTTGGACATCCCTTCATGCAGTGGGGCACCAGCTGAAAACCCAGGAACAATGTCACCTGGGTCAGGAAGCTGATATCTTCACAGCACCTGCCTGGGAGTAAAGACTGTGGGTTTTGTTTTAAAACCTACTTTCAGGGTGCTGGAAGAGATGGCGCAGCAGTTAAGAGCTCTTACTGCTCTTGCAGAGAATCCTGGTTCAGTTTCCAACACCCACATCAGGTGGTTTACAACTACCTGTAACTCCAGTTCCAAGGGATCCAATGCCCTCTTCTGGCCTCCCTGAGCACCTGAATGCTTGTAGATACATATAGACAAACACACATACAATAAATAAATAAATGATAGATAGATATAGCTAGATAGCTAGATCTTTAAAATAAAACAAAAAACCTATTCTTTGGAACCGGAGAGATGGCTCAGCAGATAAAAGCACTTGCAACAAAACCTGATAACTTAAGTTTGATCCCCAAAGCCCACAAAGTAGAAAGATAAAACTGACCCATACAAGTTGTCCTCTGACCTCCACAGGCACACAAGCATGCACAGGCACACACACACACACACACACACACACACACACACACACAAATAAGTAAGTATAAAAATAAAGTAAAACCTACTTTCAGACGTTGTCTACACCTGAAATACTTTCTACAGTGAATGACCTTACATAGTTGACATAGTTAAGGGCTAAATCTATTCGCAAAAACAATGCCCCTGAGTTTCCAAGCTAACCCAACTCAGCACCGCCTGGCATCTCTTGCCTTTGAAGCACAAAGAAGGGTCCTCTATAAGACATAAGTCAGATAGGGGCAAGAGGTCCCTCCTACCAAAACAATAGAGATAAGAACATACTTGTTCAGATAGACAGATGGAAAAGCAGCAACTAAAATTCCCTAGTGGTCATGAGGTTAGGCCAAATCATCATGGCTGAGAACTAATATCCAGACATGGCTGGCATATTTGAACCAAGAACCTCAGTATCCCATTTCACAGATGGAGAAACCAAGGCTTAGAGAGAACAAGTGGCCCAAGGTCACACAGGTAAGGAGATCACACCTGCTGGGCGGTGCCCTGGTGCTGTTTCTACTTCCTACACTCACCACAGTGCTCCACAGTGGTCTGTAGCTGAATCCCTTAAAACTCTCACAACAGCTGGTCCTGCCACGGGTGTGGGACATCTTTAGGGAATGGCCACTGCACACTTGTGAAAGAGACCTATAGTTATTTACACACAAGTGGCCATTTTAAAAAGTCAGGTTTCCATTCCAACAAAAGACATTCCTGGGGCTGGAGAGATGGCACAGTGGTTGGGAGCACTGGCTGCTCTTACAGAGGACCCGGGTTCAATTCCCAGCTCCCACATGGCGACTACAAACCGTCCTTAACTCCAGGTCCAGGGGAATCAGACACCCTCTTCTGACCTCTGCAACACTGCACAACACGGGTGCACTCACATACATGTAGGCAATACACTCATACACATAAAATAAAAATAACAAACTATTAAAAGAAAAGAGACATTCCTCCAAAATATTAAGTACATCCTCTGCACGTCTGAAAAAGGTAAGTGGTATATAAGCTTGGTCATTTAATCACTGAATCATCCTGCTAGAGAGGTGCTGTCCCTGGGTCACTGTGGAAGAAGCTGAGGATCTGCACATACAGCCATCTCTATATAAGGGCTGGCAGAGTTAGGGTGGGACACCAGGTCTGTGCCTCCGAAGGCCCCAATGGGTCTTTCTCCTCACCCCACTCAGGTGTACAGCACCCTCACCAAGCCCAGGCTCCTCCTGCGGGGACCTGTCCACCTCCACCATCTGTGCCATGGTTACCATGGAGACTGGCTCTGAAGATGAGTTCCATGATACAAAAGCTTTTGAGAGGTTGGGGGTCTCTACGAGAGGTCACTGGGTCTTGGGGGCATCATGAACAGGTCACTTCCATGAGAGAGGGTTGTTACAAGAGCAAGTCTAGTCCTTCCTTCTCTTGTATGCACTCCCTCGATGTGAGGCCATCTACATGCTGTGATATAGCAGAGGCTGTAGTTGCCAGATGAAACCTCCAGAACTGTGAGCTAAATAAACCTTTCTACCTCATTCCCAGCCTCAGGTATTTTGTGACAGCAATACAAAACAGATCAAGACAGCCTGTTCCTCCAACACGAGAGGCACAGCTGGAGTACCTTAGACTGTATGAAGGTCCGGAAAATCGGCACCAGTGCCTCATCCTCCAGGTGGTCCACACACTGAATGGCCACATTCAGGATGTGGATGGGCTCTTCTCGGAGGTTCTATGACAGAAAAACCAGAGCTTGGGCAAAAGGGCAGAAGCCACAGCCCGCCCCCATAATCCTGCTCCCTGCAACCCTACAGATTGCTCCCTGGGCCCAGACACTTACCTTGCTATCATCCTCAGAGTACAGGGAGGTGCGGGCCTTGCTGAAGAGGGGTGTGTCTGTGGGAATGTTGGCAAAGCAGGAGATAACTTCATCAAAGTTCCTGGAGGCGTGGGGCAAAGGAAGGCTGAGTCACTGATTTCTCAAGAGGACGTTGGTTAGTCCCCCTACGTAACAGTATGCCAGAACACCAGACTCCCATCTAGCCATAACCCTTAGGACCACTGACCAACAATAAGCCCCCAAGGAATCTATTATTCTTAACTTCTGTGTCTTATGTCTGGGTCTCCCCAAGTCCATGTGTCATGAATGGGTGGGATCAAAAAAAGCCATGCAGCCCCCACACCACACCTGGTGAATTCCTCAAATCTCCTGAAGGCTACCATGGCCCCCATCCGCTGGCACAGTGGGGAGAAACCACTGTCCATGAAGAGCTCTGTGCTGCGCCTCAGCAGGTCAGGGTTAATGATGCTGATGGGTACTGCCATCCTGCAGGGTGACAAAGAGAGGTTTGAGGCAGTTGCCAGCAGAATAAGACCTTTTCCTGTGTAGGATTCTTTAGGAAACCCGACCAGGATTACAGTTTTCCCAGTGTGGGGTCTAAAACAGGACCATAAGAGGAGACCAAGATCAGGGCCAGGTGCTGAGGGGCACTGATTCCTCAGGACCTGGTGCAGTATATAGGAACCCAGGAAGCAGATGACTGAATGAGTGGTGCATCCATGAGCAAGTTCAGTTCCCACAGTCCCGAGGTAAATCCAGAATGGTGAACACAGTCACACAGAGAATGCATGCCCCCAGTCTCAGTTTCCCCTGGAGAGCCCAAACTCAAGGCAGCTAAGGAGGGGACAGACTTGTGATCGCTCCAAGCCTCCATTCCCCCTTCATTCTTCCCTTCCATAAAACTCTCTTAGGACAAAATTAGCAGCTATTAGAGTTTAGATAGCTACTGCTCCCAAGAGTCAATCCAGTCAGGTCACAGGAGGATTCTGGAATAAAGTACAGAATGGGTGAGCTCACAATGTGCAAAAAAGAAAGAGCACAGAGGCCTGAGCTGCTCTTTGTGGGAAGGGGACTGCTTGCAGGGTCAGCCCCTGGCTGTGTCTGAGAACTTGTACTTGGGGAAGGTTTTCCTTTCCTGAATGATAAGGCTTGCTGGGCCTACACTGCTGCAACCAGCAGTATGGTTTAAGCCAAGATACGGTTTAGGCCAAGGACCTAAGGACCTGCTCTCTCCTGGGAAC